GTGGCTAGTTGTAACCTCCAATGTAAGGTGAGCCCTTGGTGGCACGCCGTGTCCTAATATACTTGAATAAAAACATCACAACTCCCAAGATAGGGACTTTAACTTAAAAAAAAAAAATAATAATAATAATTGACATTTCTATTTGTAAATTAATGCAAAAATTAGCTCTGTAATTAATCAAACGTTTCTTTTAGATTTATTCAAATATTTATTAAATACCAATACTATACTTATAAAAATTATAATATTACTAGGTTAATGCATAGCATTGTGTGTCTAAAGTGTATGATCATCATATTGCATGATTACATGTTTTTGTTATACTAGAGCAATGATATACATGAACACTGTCCACGAATATTACTTGAACATAGACATATTTGAACATTGTTTAATATCCATATCTGCCATATGTTCAAAAAACAAAATTGTCACCAGACATTGTCTACACAAAAAATGATGGACATGAATGTCTGGTGGACAATGTCTGCTGGATGATGTTCAATGTCCAAGCATTTAATTGGACAAGCATTTCAGTCTTGAAATGATCATCCAATTAAATGCTTAGACATTAGACATTGTCTAGTAAACATTGTCCAACATCCAACATTAGAAAATTTTCAATCTATGTACATACATATCACTTGTAATTTTATTATCTTAATTTTTTTTATTAAACTTTTTTTTATTTAACATTTTTGTTTCATAAAAATGGCACTTTAGGTTAGTGTTTTATTGGGACAGATGAAATGAACTGGTATAAGTACTAGTTTATAAATTTTCTTTTACTTTGCCATGTATTCTTTTACTAACATCATTTTCTTTTTAGACTTATCAATATAATAAGCTTTGGAACCCAGAAAAATAGTACTATTAGATAAGTGTACCAGTTTCTACTTACTTGTTTTCGTGTCTTTCTTTTTTTCATTCTTTAACTATTACTTTTTTCTTTTGTAAATGATTCTGTAATAGAGATCTGAACCTCATCGGAGAACATAAATGGAGTTAGCAATGGAGTTTTGATCCTGAGAAAAAATAGTACTGAGAAATATACCAGTTTCTATTTCTTGTTTTCACATTTTTCTGTTTTTCTTTTCTTTCATTTCTTTAACTACTATCTTTCTTTTATAGATCACTGAGGAATGTAAATAGAGTCAGTAATAGAGATCTGGGCCCAAAAAAAACAGTATGGTATAATAAGATAAGTACCAGTTTTCATTTTCTTGTTTTCGTGTTTCTTGTTTTGTGTTTGTTGTTTTCTTTTCTTTCTTAAACTACTATTTCTTTCTCTTGTAGGTTACTAGGGAACATAAATAAAGTTAGTAATAGAGAGACTGGCATAAGACAAGTATATCAGTTTCTACTTTCTTGTTTTTGTGTTTCTTGTTTCTCTTTCCTTTCATCTTTAATTACTATTTTCTTTTTCTTGTAGTTCACTGGATAATGTAAATGGAGTTTGTAATAGAGATCTGAAAATAGTACTGGTATAAGATAAGTATACCAGTTTCTACTTTCTTATTTTTACATTTTCTTGTTTCTCTTTTCTTTCATTCTTTAACTACTACTTTTTTTCTCTTGTAGGTCATAGCAGAACATAAATGAAGTCAGTACTGGAGATCTGAATCTAGAAGAAAAATGTAATATATAAAATAAGTATGCCAATTTCTACTTTCTTGTTTTTATGTTTTTATGTTTCTCTTTTCTTTCATTCTCTAATTACTACTCCTTCATCTTGTAAGTTACTGGAGAACATAAATGGAGTTGGTAATACTGAAAAGAATATAGTACTGGTATAAGTATACCAGTTTTTAGTTTTTTTTTTCTTGTTTATTTTTTTTTTATTTGTATTTCTTTTTCTGTTTTTGCTTTAATCATTAAGCTAATATTTTTCTTTTACTTCATTGTATAATAGGACTTGAAATCTCAAGACAAAAAGAATGAAAGGTCAAGTATGAAGTCATGCCATATCAATAGTTGAGTTTATTACTGTATAAGGCAAACATGTAAAATTGATATATTTACAATAATAATATATAAATAAAATTTATTAGTATATACTGTAATACATTTTATATATAAAGCAAATTATTGAATTTAATAGGTTAATCGTCAGACAATGTTGTCTTGCTTTGGACACAGATGTCTGGTCTGTGTCCATGTGACAATACTGATTATGTCTATGTGTTGGTAATTAGTATATATGTTGTAACCACATTAAAAAAATTGTTTAATATTTTATACAGATAAGCAAAGATAATCTCATGTAGTTTATTCTTAAAAAAGTATTTATTTAATAAATTTTACAAAATATAACAATTACTAACATTGTAATCATAAGAACACAAAAAATCATAAATTGATCAAATCTAGCTAAATTAAACATGCTAATATAGCATTGTCTTATCGCTTGAAATTTGAATATTGTCTCAGATTTTCTGTGCCATCAGACAATATTCAAATATTCACATATTGTGTCCAAAAATTATGCATATTTAAACAAAGCTCAAATGAATAAAGCGATAATGCGATAATGCATAAAGCCTAAATGAATAAAGCGATAATAGATTCTGTTTGTCAGGATTTTGATCCAAACCAAGAGTAATAGCTGATTAATTAAGCTGATGACATATGCAACATATAATGCAAAGCTAAAGCCTTATTTGTTTTCTTATAAATAATGCACAAAATCTAAATAAATAGAGCAATAACAGATTTGGGTCAATTGTAAGGTCAAAATCTGCATTAGATTATTATTGGATTCTGTTTGTCAGGATTTTGATGTGATAATATAAATCTTATTAATTGAGTTCACCTTTTTACATTTTAAATTTTTTAATAAATAACCTGTGTTTATTAATAATTAACAAACTATACTCTGCTGAATGAACTTGTATTTAGTGCTAAAAAAATTTATTTTTAAAAAAAGGATAAATATATTAATAAAATTGGGGGTTTTTTTCAAAATAGCTACTAATTTAAAAAAAATTGTAAAGTAGTAATAGATTTGTTAAGCCCTTATATTATTAGAAATATAGGAGAAAAGATTAATAAAAGTAATTATAAGGTTTATTGTAAGGCATATGTTGATGTAATGGGTGAGATTAATAGGAAAAAAACATATTTTCTAAATAAAAAAGATAGAGTTATTGGGCATCTTAAAAAATGTATAAATTTTATAAAACATACAACTCTGGAGAAAAGGCAAAAAGTCTTTGACTTGTCTAATGATGAATCAACTAAACAATCTAGTAAGAATAAGTTAATTTAATTTATTTAAATTAATATATATAAAATATTTATCAATATGTTTTTTCAGGTTCATTATATGATGCCATAACTACTTCATCACAATTATCTACTCAAAAAACTATTGTACGATTCTCCTCTTCCTTTGGCCTACTTGACAATTATATTGTTTGTCCATTATCACAAGAAAATTATGAAAAATTTAAAGTCCTTTTGTTAAGACTTACTATTGCTTGTGGTTGGGCTTTTAATTGGATAAATAAACCAGAAGCATATGAATTGTTCGATTTTTTAAATCCTCTAATAAAACTTCCAGATCACTGAACTCTTAGTAGACCATCTTTAAAAGTTGCTATTTCTGAATATGATATGGGAATATATAAAGCTCTTCATAAAGATTTTGTTGGTACTACTCTTATATTCGATGAATAGATGAATGTTAATAATAAACTGCTGATGGGTGTAATGGTAGTTACTTCAGAAGAAAAACTCTATGTATAGAAAGCAATGGATATTAGTGCAAAGAGAGAGAATTATCTTAAAGTAATAGAAAAAACAGAAGATATAATTGATGAATTAAAGAATATAAATGTAAATATAATTGCAATTGTTACAGACAGTGCAGGACCATATGCTGCTGCTAGATATTTTTATTTTTATCTGATTTATATTGGTTTCTAATTTAATTATATATATGTTTTTATATTAATACTAGATGAAGATTAAGGCAAAATTATAGAGATATTGTATTTCTTCCTTGTTATGCTCACTAGCTAAACCTGTGTATAGGTGAAGTATTTAAAGAATCAACTAACTTAAAATGTACAATAGATAAAGCAATTCAACTAGCTGTATACTTTAAAAATGCAAATAACAAATATTTTATTAGGCAATTATATAATCAACAAAAAATAACATATAAAAGGTATTTTAGTATAGTTGTTCCAAGTAAAACAAGATGGAATAGCTATTATTTCCTTGTAACTAGTTTTTTATGAACCAAACAAGCATTACAAGTATGTTATAATTCTATACAAATTTAAAAAAAATAGATTGCCAGATTATTTTTAAATTTGAACTTCTAAATATTTTTATTTTAGATTTTTGCAATAAATTTTTAATCATTTTATTCTCAAAATCGACGAAAATCTGGTGAAAATCTTACAATTTATTATGAAATTTTTCAAATAATTGACTTGGATTCATTTTGGTCAGATTTAGTAATAATTGCAAAAATTCTATATCTATACTGCAAAATATTAAATATCTTGCAACATGACAATAAAAGATTAATATAGGTTATATACAGTATTGCATATTTAGTCCAATTTTGAAACAATTATGTTAATTTGGAACTTTCTAAGAAAATATTAACCAGATTAGAGAAAAGATGGAGTAGCTAGAAGCAACCACTTCTTATTTTAGCATGCTTACTACACCCTGGGTATTGATTAATATACTTTAAAGACACCTTAGTAATTAATTATTCAAGATTAGACAAATATTTGATTTATTATTACAAAGCCTAGTCAGGAAAAGATCCTACTTGTATTTTGAATGAATTTAATGATTTTTCTAAAAAAGTTTATCCATTTGATGATAGTACTTTTAATCAATTCAAAAAAAATGGTATATTAAATTATTGAAATTTTATTGGCCCTTTAATGAATGAATTAGAACTAGTAACATGCTGATTGTAGTTAATACTGCTGCTGTTGAGCATTTATGAAGCTGCATAAGCTTCATTCAAACTAATCAAAGAAATTGACTACTTGTAATATTATTTTATTTATAGCTGTTTTTAAAATATTAAGGCTAGCAATTCAAACTATTACATATATATATACATACATCCCAAACTATGTGTTATCCTAAATAGTTTGAGTTATATATAATAATCTAGCTTTTTTATTCTGATCTATTTAGAATATATTATCATAATAATTTAAAATCAGCTATAAATTTTTTTTTTAATGAATTAATTTAGAATCACCAAGATGAATTTTATCAGATATGTTTTTTTTTGTCTTAAAGTAAAAATTAGACTTTGGTTAGGATTAAAGTTCAAATTAAAGTTAGAGATTCATTTTTATTTAGTATTTTAAACACCAATTACTAAATATTCCTCAAAAAATAGCATATCTGGTGAATTTTATCTTTAGTAAATATTCAAAGTATCCTTTTTTCATTTAAAATAAATTTTTATTTAGTTACAAAAGACTTTGAATATGTGCAAATTAAAAGCTGCTATGGCATGGGAGCATTCACACAGACCAGCTTTTGCTAAATTATTTCTACCTATTTTTCAAAATAAAAATATTACAAAGAATAACGATGAACCAAATATATCAAATATAAGTCATGAAGAATCAAGCGAAGAACCCAATGAATCTGTGGATGATGAAAATGATGAGATTTTGGAATTAACTTCTTTGAAAGAATTTGGCCAATTCTTAGACATATAGGTCAAAATATCAACAAATAAAATTGAAGAAATTACATTGATATATGAAGATAAGGATGAGATGCTTACTTCAGAAATTGAGGATATTTCTTATCTGGCAATAGATCCAAATTCTAAATGGAATTTAAGGACTTTATTTAATAAATTACTATTGTCTTTTTTTTAATATAAATATATATATATATATTTGATTTTTTTTTTTTTATTGTTTTATTTTTTATTTATTTATTATTATTATTAACAAGACTTTATTAGGTAAGCATAAAAGTTACTATTTTTATAGACAACATTACTTGTAATTTTCTATAATGACACTAATGACTTTGATAAAATCAAAAAATATTGAAACCAGGTAAGCATATGATTGATATTTGTTTTGTTATACAGAATTTAATACTCACAAGAGTAATTCGATTTAATGTTTAAATAAGATCTTGAATGAACATTATTTGGTATTTTCAGTCTAGTAAGTCTCATGATTATTAATATACTATATGAGTGTCATCAAGAGAAAAACTAGTTACCAATCTCTAACAAATAACTGGTTTTCTTTAGTAGCTCTCATATGTTTCTAATTCAAATACTTGTTAAATTAATGATATATGGCTTTATGCATCAACAAAGAAATTACTTCAGGAAGTTTAGAATATTTCTCATCTGGCAATAGATCAAAATTCTAAATGGGATTTAAAAACTCTATTTAACAAATTATATATATATATATATATTCTTTTTTTTTATTCTTTTACTTTTTTTATTTGTTATTTATTTATTTATTATTATTATTATTATTAACAAGATTATTAGGTAAGCGTAAAAGGTTCATTATTTTATAAACAACATTGTAATTTTCTATAACGATATTAATGACTTTGATAAAATTAAAAAACATCGAAACTAGGTAAGCATATGATTGACATTTGTTTTGTTATACGGAATTCAATATTTACAAGAGTAATTTAATTTAAAATCTTTGAAATAAATATTATTTGTTATTTTCAGTCTAGTAAGTCTTATGATTATTAATATACTATATGAGTGTCGTAAAGAAAAAAACCAGTTACCAATCTTTAACAAATGACTGGCTTTCCTCATATGTCCTAGATTCAAATATCTGTTAAATTAATATGGCTTTATGCATTAATAATTATGAAAAAGTGGTGAATGTTCTAGGGTACTACAAGAGCTTTGAAATTTATTTTTGTTAATTTTTCGTCTAAGTTCTTGAGTAGGTTTTCAATATCGTTTGGTAAGCTACTTCTATAACATTGGTTATTTATCTACATTAAGTTATTAATATTTAAATTTGCAAGTAGGCTTTTTATTTTCATGTTTAATATGCAAAAAATCAAATCAATTTTGCATATGAGCATTGACAATTAGTCAGCACTATGTAATTTAACAATCAGATTAAATTTATAAACTAATTTGGAGCTTATTTTTTTCTAGCTGATTAATATTAAAAGTTTTAATAAATATATTATTTTTTTAAAATGAGTTTAAAGTATATTATTTTTAATATTACTGATAGGTGTTCCAATATTAGAAATCTATTTATTAAAATAGGTGACCATCTAGATAATTAAACTACACATATATATATAAGTTATTTAATAGATTAGGAGCCTCCAGACACTCTTATTACATGATTATTCATATTACAAATACTTACTACTTATTGTATTTCTGAAATCGTTAGCTTTGAGACTCCAGTGTACAATTTTTGAGATGATATTAAATCTGCAAGTCATTCTTTTATAATACAACTGGTTGCAAATAAATTACTTATTCTTAATAATCTATTTAAATTCACAAATAATTCTTAATTATGATTTGTTTATGATTACTTAATATAAATACAAGATTACAATATTAGGGTTAATTCATTTTTTATATATATATTTTATAAAAAAAAAGAAATCCTATGAATTCTTAATTTGAAATTTAATTATTTAGATATTTTTCATATTAATAAACTTACTTGTGCACATGTGATCTGAATGTTGACAGTAATTTTACTATCTTGTTAGCTTCCAAGAATTGTATTTTTAATTTGTTTGAAATTGCTATGACGTTTCATAGATTAGAATCTATACTACATAACAGTAAGTAAGTTTTTTCACATTCGTGTTAACCCAATATTGTTTAAGCTTCTTTTTAAGTGTCATCGAGTGAGGAGATCAGAGAATCTTTGGTTGCAATTTGATCTTTGGAATTGGTAGGAGGTAAATATTCAAAATCAGTTACATCTATATTTACATCTGATGTAAAGAGACATTTATGTGGGTTACATGGCTTATTTAATAAAACTTGTAAACCTACATTATAAGGTATGGCATCTCAACTTTTAGTTGATGATTTAGCTGAAAAGCTATTATGTGTTAACATTATATAAATATTTTTCAAATCATTAAAAATCATATACTCTGTTAAAGTAATCACTCAGGAAAATCTTGGTCTTAATCTATTGCAAATCTTGATCACAAGTCAGTATCAAATAGTAATTAGCAAAAGGTCTTTGTCTGGTTGAAAATTTTGATATTATGATTTCAAAACCATAAATATCAGTTGCTTGTGTGAAAGATCTATTTTGTAAAGCTTCTGAAGCAACATACAGTAAGACAAGATAACCCTAAGATCTAAAATATGCTTATTTTTAAATGCAATAAATGATCAAAATGCCTGTTGGCAAACATTGGACAATGTTCGCTGGACATTGTCCAATGTCTAAACATTTGATTGGTCAATCTATTTTTGATTATAATGAACATTGGTCAACATCTGCCAGACATTGTCCACTGTCCAAGCAATTTGATTGGTCAGAAATATACATAAAATTTTCTATAACAAAAACAAACTTTTTATACTAAACTATTATAAAATTCAAAATTTTTTAGTTTATTATTCAGAGTTTGTTATATAGGTTTGGTATAAAAAGAGTTGACTGGATATATATATATTTTTTTTGAACTGTCAGACCATGAGATACTGTGAATCATAACATAATTTATAACATGGGCTTGATGCTGAGAATACCTTAATTCCTAAAAGTCCACTGGGTAAAATTTAAAAATTATAGATAAGTAAATTTAATATTTCTTTTTTTTTAACTTATATTACATATTTTGATTGAATTTTTCAGGATAAGTCATTAATAAAAGTGAGGGCTTCCTCTTGTAATCCAGATTTGTCAAATAATTTGAATCACCATCCTGAAATAATGTACAAATATGGTATTACATACCAGAAACTTCAAAAAAATTATAATACTGTATAGCATAATTAGTTCTCAATGAATAAATAAATACATGTATAATATAATTTTTAAATAAATACTTTTAATCGCACTTGATATTCTAAGATTTTTAATTTTATTTGTGTTGTTCTGATTTTATTTAGCTTCTTGTAGATCAGAATTGTTTTTTAACTCAAGCCACAATCCAGTGCAAATTTTTACTGCAATTTGTTACAAAATGGCCCACCATCAAAGGTCTTGGTATAATCAATATCTCTGATAACTCCAAAACTGTAAATGTAACATAAATGTAACCTTTTGCTCTCTTGAATAATATACGAAATGACTTTATAAATGCTTCATTATATTCTGAAACAACTCTAGATCTGAGATACAAGTACTGCCAATGGAAAGTGAGGCTTCAGATAGGATCTTAAAATTTTGTTCTTAAAACTTATGAAGATTCTGTTATCAATATATAAGTTACTGTTAAGCATCTATTTGTTTTTTCTAAACTGTGTATATTCAAACAACTCTCATATTATTATCTTTTAAATAATTGTTAAAGTTCATAATTTATAGTTCTAACTTGAGTGCAATTTACAGATAGCTTTACTAGAATTAGATATGACAATACTATATGTTCATATATATTGACTTTTGAATTTTTGATAAATTCCTTGATTACTGCGAAAAAACTTAAAGACAAAGAAATAAAATAAGCAAAATGCTAATTAACACCTTTTATAAAGCAACAGAAAAAAAGTTAATCAGTGAGGTTATATATTGAACTTGAACTTTGGCAGTAAATCATTTAGCTTATAAACTATTTGCAGCAACTAGCAAGTTCTTAGCTAATAAGATCATCGTGTATATGAACAATGTCTGCCAGACATTCTAAGCATTTGATTGGTCAGTCTACTGACAATGTCTGCCAGACATCATTATTTTTAGACATGGATGCAGATGTCCAGTCTGGTCTGATTCATGTCTGTGTTCATGTCTATATGACAACATCGCTAATGAGGTTGTAAAAGAGAGTACTAGAATTATGTAAACTTTATAAGAATATAATGCTTTAAGGATTACTTTAATTGCAAGTATTGATCTTAGTTATAATAATATTAGATCAACTAGAAATTAAATAACAGAAGACTCTAATAGGTTTAAGACAAGGTCAAAGGCTTTTTATATAAGTATACTGCTTTAAAAATTTAGTAATCATAGTATAATTGCATTAATAAAAACTAAAAGTTATTAATAAAATAAGTAGATAAATAGATATAAGAATCAGAATATTTAAATAAAGAATTTATAAGCAGGTTTTAAATATATAACAACTAATATAAAACTTTTAACAAACTATTTAAATTAGACAATGATTAAAGTTGTATGAGTAACTAGTTGTACATTCTTTCTATAGTTGCTTTCTGTAGCTATTGTAATACAATTACAAAGCTAAAATATATTATTAATAAAAGCCTGAGTTGTAAGTATATATTTTTAATATTTTTTAAAAAAAAATAAGGACTAAGTAGAAATATAAATATAAAATAGGTTTAAATAAATAAATACAAAATTAGTTAAAAAAAAAATAGAACTAGAACTAGAAAAATATTTAAATATTAAAAGAAAAATAAGCAGAAATATATATAGATAGTAATATTGCAATAAGAAATATTAGTAAAGATTTAGACTATATTGTTATAGAATGAATTATTTTTTTTTTTTATCATATAAGCAGTCACGCTAGTACTTTATTAAGA